ATTGTATTCTCTGTTATAATTAAAAATGGGATAAAGTTGTTTTTTCTTGATATTATTTAACTAAGATAACTTTGTTATATTTTCGAACACGCGATAATTAAGGAAATAATATATGAAAGGATTGGAAATTCAATAGAAAATTGAAAGGTTGAGGCGACGGTGTTACGAATATCATTTTTTTTTTTCTATTCTACAGGGTGTTAGAAATAATCTATCCGATGATAAAAAAATAAATAGAATATATAATAAAGTGCATTAAACGAAACAATTGAAAAAAAAAAAAAAAATAATTCATATTTTATTTTAATCTATCTTAGATCGCAATCGAAAACACGAATAACTATACACGAATCATTTACACATTAATTTTATAAATTAATTAAACGATCCTAATCGCAAGCAAGGTAAAGAAAAGAAAAAAAGGTGAAAAGAAAAAAAGGTGAAAAGAAAAAAAAATCAAAGAAAAAAAAAAGAACAAACAAAATAAGGTCAAAGTGTAAGAACTCGCGTGGAGGTTAATTAGATCGATGAAAAATAAATTTCTCTTAACACCCTCTCTGTATAGAAAAAGTTAGATGGTTGCTTAGGAAGTTGATCACGAACGTATGCGTGGTAACTGTTATGCGATCGTTCATAGATCGCGACAAGTGGCGAGAGAAGGTAGTCACGAGTATACACCTTGTATGTATGGATGTATTCATGTATATGTGTGTATGTGTGTATATAAGTAAGTACTTATATCGTGAAGGTAGAATAACGACTACGCGACTACGACTACGATTACGATGACGACGACGACGACGACGATGAAGTCAATAATATCTCGAAACACAAAAGGGCAAGCTGGTAGAAGAGAGCGTCGAAACAAATGAGGCGCCTATGCGTGACAACCCTTATTGCTGCGCGACGGTACACTGGGTCCTACGTTTTCCACGCTCCCGATAATAACCAGTTATTGTTCGTTACATACGTATTTGCATGTTTTCCTCAGCTATATTTTCATCTAGTAGGTAGATATTTATGTATACGTATATACGCGTATATGTATGTGTGTGTATGCATGAATATGATCTCGCGAAAATGGCAATAATAATTTAGCGAGTAACAATTTCTTCATTATTTTTCTTTTCACGTGTACCTTTTAGTTTTTCTCGTCAGATTGGAGAAATTATTTTTGGGATTAAAAATTTATTGTATTATTATTATTATTATTATTGTTTCTTTTATAATTTGAACGTAAAGAGAATGATTAACTTTTGTGTATAGGAATAGTTTCATACATTTATACGATTAAAATGTCATCGCTTCAAAGTAAAGATCGCATCATCAAATCCCCCTTTACACAATTAGTACGTCCAGAAATACCTGAAATTCGAGTAAAGTCAAGGTGTAATTTATTAAACGGCGTTAAACGTAAAAGCGCCGACGGCTGACTGGACGAGAACTGTAAGCTCGAGGGAGGAAGATTCATCGACTCCTCTCTACAATCTAACTCGTCCTACCCGATTAATTATGGTTCTTCGTGAGAATTCCTCTCTTACGCCCTAAAAAAAATCCTAAACTAAATGGAAGAAGAAAAAAGATAAAAAAAAAAAAAAACAAAAAGAAAATGTCAAGTCAAGCGTCGTTTGCGAAGTCCACCTATCCAATTAATTCAAAGTTGGCAATTCTTAGCTGCCGGCAAATCACCAAAGAAAGAATACTTCAACTTATGATGTTGATAAAACAGTGAGATGCTTTAGTGATATTTCACCAGAAAATATCATCGAAAAGTGTTGCAATGGAGGAAAATAAGAAGAATTCGAAAAACAATAAAAAAAAAAAAAAAAGAAAATACGACGGAAAGACGAAAAGAGGCAGAAATAAAAAATGGAGAGGAAAAATATAGAAAGAAAGAGAGAGAGAGAGAGAGAGAGAGAGAAGTGAAAGATTCGCGTCGCAAACCCGGGACATGAATAAGCCAACGGGCAAAGGTGTGGTTCCCAGGCGTTCGCGGTAGGAAATCGCTCACCGGAGAAGAAAGATGGAGAACAGAAGGCAGGAGAGCGAACCAAGACGTGATTAATATAAAAGTGGGCGGAGCCAGGCTTGGCCGGAAGTGGCCGAAGAGGGATGCTGTGCCGTGCGCCAAGCAAGCGCGAAAACGGGGGCGGGGAGGGTTTTCACATCGCGCAAGTGTGGTTGCTGCTCTCCTCTTTAACGTGTTACCGTGTGTGTTTCTATACTATCTATCTTCTCTCTCATTCTTACACACACACACACACACACACACACATATTTGTATGAGTATTTTCAATGCATTTACTTCCGTCTACCAACGTAGATCGCATGTGCGTGCACCTACATAGATCTCGAAAGAAAACTTGGTGGGGGATGATGGAAGAAATACGACGAGACACTTCCATCCATCTACCCTAAACTCTTACCCCTTCTCTTACATATCTATTGTTTATATTCTAAAAAGTAAGAAAAATATAATAGAATACAAATAATCTTTGACATTGATGCATACGTAATAATTTGTATATTTGAAAATAATAATATCTCGCGATACCAATGTTCGGTGTATCATAGAAGATAGATTTTTTCGAATTTTTTCTGAGATGATATTTAGAAAGCAGATGGCTGCTGCAACGTTGGCAACGAGAAGGAAGGGAAAAATAAAAGGAAACGGAGAAAGAAGGAGGAGGAGGAGGAGGAGGAAGAAGAAGAAGAAAAAGAGGGGTACCAGGATTGGAGAGAATATGGGATCGAAGGGAACCAACAGGACCAGAAGCAAGCTTTTCGGAGACTAGAGGGGTGTAAGGGTTGACGCGTCCAGGGGTGGTCAACCCCACCCGCTTCTTTAACGCCCCCAAGTAGGATAGGACCGCCTCCGTCTCCGCGTTCGTTCCACCTACTACACCCCGGGATTCCTGCACTCTCCTACCACCTACTACGCCATCCTAAGACCTACACCCCCTTCGTCTACTACAGGCACTAACCCCGGACCAACCACCCTCACCAACCTCCCACTCGCCTCTCATCTCCTCCTCAACACGAGACGGTTGTTCGGTTCTATCTTTTCGGATAAGATAGAAAAATATATAAAATAAAGAAAGAGGAAATTGTTTCGGTAACATCAATCGTAGAATACGTTAGATACGTTATAATGAAAAATATATAGGATACAATTGTTTATTATTATTATTATAATTATTAGTCGGAATAAAAAATGAGTTCGATGAAACGCTTAATAAAATGATCGGTGATCAAATGCGATTCCAAGTAAATTGAACAGGGGATAAAGGGTACAGTAAGTCTGGTTAATGTTAAGGATGAATCACGATAGCATTAGATAATTAGCATCAACTCCAGCCGACGTCATCCCGCTATACGCATAGTTGCTACTGCCAAGAATTATTTTTAGGTAAAAATGTGTATACTGTTTCTGCACTCTCTAAGTCGTGGTACGTATTTAGTTACTCGAACATAGTTAATCTTGGAACGGCGTACCGAGATTTATTTCGGCGACCATTCTACTCGCCCCGTACACCTATTCGTCTTGTCGGAATCGTTAAGCTGTCATTTCCACGAATTTCGCGATATGCTCGCGAACGAACAAATGATAGAACGAAACGATAGTAGGAAGGTAAGGTTTTAGATCATTCCAAAGGAAAAAAACATTATTTATCAACATCGCATCGCACGTAAGACGATATCAACGATGAGATTTTTTTATCTTTCTTTTTTTAGTTGTTTTTTATTAATTTTTTTATTTTTTTATCAAAAAAGAACATAGAAAAAGATAAATGTAGTAGAGAAAGAAGGAAAAATTGAGAATAGAGAGAATTGAAAACTAATCAGTATGATATAAGAAAAAAGTACGCTTTGTCACGCGAGTAGAAGGATGAACGAAACGTTAAACAAAGATAAACCGTATTATCCGTCTCAATCGTTTATTACCCTATCTCTTTAACTTTAACGTTGAACTTACTATTTCTTTCTTTCCTTCTTTCGTTCTCTCTCTCTCTCTCTCTCTCTTTCATTTTTTTTGCTCTTTTTTCTTCTCAAGGAGAATGAAAAGGAGTTGAATGAAAACAACCCTTGATATACGATTACCGAAGTGACGAAGTTGACTCGAGCATTCGCATTCCTTTATTCGTAAAGTATCGAATCGATTTCTTTTGTCATACTCGCGAGGAATCATTGTTTGTCAGCATTAACTGTAACCTAAGGTTTTTAAACGATCGTTGTCCAGTGGACTTGCTTCCGATCGATATTCCTGTGACGTCTTCGAGCAAGGTCATTTACGATATAACCGAATGTGTTCTTTTCTTTGATATCCAACTAATGCTAACATATAAGTTATCGACATTAATCTAATGGATGAAAATAATGAGATCGCAATCATTAATTACAGATATGTATATCTAATAGTGTATGCGCATCGCAAACACCACATGGAGAGTACTTAACCTCTTCAAGGTCTTTCAGACACATATATAGATATTTAAATTTTATACAAAAAACAAAAAAAAACAAAAAAACATTTAAAAATATCAATTTAAGAAATTTTGATAAAAATAAACATACGCAGAGAAAATAATATTAAATTACTTATGAAAATATAATAGCTTTGTGTACTTCATAATATTCTTTTCATATTAATCCTAGATAATTACTAAAGTAAAAAACAAATATTCAGCCTTGAAGAAATTAAAATATAAGTGATTGGAGGAAGAAGCCATAAGAAACTGAGAAAGAGAGAAGAAAGCTCGAAAGAAAGAAAGAAAGAGTTTTGATAAAATGTGACGAGTGACAAAATCTCGCGTAAAAGTGTTCGCAGTACATGGGGGCAGGTAGTCAGAGAGACAAGTAATCAAAGAGACAGTCAGACAGATAGTCAAACAGGCAGACAGGTAGGCAGACAGGTAGGCAGGCAGGCAGGCAGGCGATCAGACAGGCAGGCAGACAGTGCAGTGAAGACGGAAGTAGTGTTGCAGGATGAGTAAGGCTACCTGGACGGGTCTCCAGCGTGGTTCCAGCATGTCCCGCTTCCTCCTCGTCGACTCGCTCGTGGTTGCTCTCGTTCGTTGTTGCTCCGTCCTTCTCGACTCGCCAAAGGATAATAAAAGAAAGGATTAACCAAATGCTTTCCTTCCTTTCCTTCTTCTTCCTCTTCTTCTTCTTCTTATTTTTATTATTCTTCTTCCTATTGTTGTCCGTTATCTTTCTGTTGTTCTGTTTCTCTTAATTTCTTCTTCTTCCTTCTGCCAAGCCTGTCCTCCTCCCACCCACCCCCTCTCACTCTTTTCTCTGTCCCTTTGATGCCACGTTTCTAAACTTTCTCCCTTTCCTCTCTCTCCCTCTCTCTCTCTCTCTCTATTTCTTTCTCTTTCTCTCCTTTTTCTTCTTCTTTCTCTTTCTTTCTCTATTTCCCTTTCTATCTATCAGAAATACCGCGCGTGCTGTCACCCTCAGCCACGTGTTTGCCGGCCGCAAGCAAAAGAGAAACAGAAATAAATACGGAAATTTGGAGAAAAGGGAGAGGATAGAACAAAAAATATAGAAATATATAACAAAGTTTATAATTGATTGTTAACACCAATCAGTAAATGCAACCACTACTTTGTTTTTTTTTCTTTTTTTTTTCTTTCCAAATTCCCGGTTGATATGTGCCCCCAACAATGTTCCAACAACAACGACGAAGACGACGACAACGACAAGAACAATGTTACTGATGATTCCTCCACGATAGTTTCGATGCAAATAAAACGATTAACAGACTCCTCCCTCCTCTGTCAGACGTTTCTATTGTTGTTAATGTTAATATCGATGTATACCACGTCGAAGTATATCTATTCTTCCTCTTGATCCTTTTGTCCACAAATGCTGACGAGAGTGAAAACGTGACGAAATTTTCAAACTAATAATATGTTCTAACGCGTTTACTAATTACATATACATAGATATATACTTAGTTGGTATATATGTATATATACGTTTATATATATATATATATATATATATATATATATATA